ATTATTTCGGGGAGTTCTTATTGAAAGAGCACATTTTGTCAATTAGGACAAGTAACAAGTGGGAGAAGTTCAGCGATAATGACATCATCACTCGAGATATTCAATAATGACATCAGCGTAACTATTAAGCATTCGAGATATGGTTGCTTCCACCTTTTGTGGAATAATTTGGATTCATATTAGTTTGAGGATTGATGAAAGGGTGGCGGATTTTTTTTAAAGATTTTTTGCAAATCAATGATTGGTGAATTGGGTGATTGAGGTGATGTTGACAAGTGAGTGGTGGTCGGTGAAAGTCGATGGCATCTTCATTGGTGTAGTCCCACAAAGTCCAGTGGGTACAATGCAGGCACCATTCACTCACTCATTTGCCGTAACCTCGTCCAAGTTCCAGTGCGATTGTTGGATTAGTCCCGCGGTTGTACTCGTTCCAGTGGCATCATTCGTCTGACTTCTACGGTTTTCCCGGTGATTACACACTACGAGTTTATTCTTCACAGTTCTTCTCTGAAATTTTTCGGTAAGACCACCCTTCTCAATTTATTTATTCAATTACAGCCTGGGCACTTGATTTAAGAAGAATCAATGCACCCAAATAGTCTGTTGCCAAGTGGTAAAGTAGGATAAGTGATTTTTTTTAAACTCCCATTTTCAGTCAATTTCTCGAAATTGAGGGACAATAATATTTAACATTTATCCTAGTTTATCGATTCGATAGTGAATTGTTGGAGTTGGATTGTATCGCACGTGCTTTTGCGATAGGTTTGCCCAGTTTGGCTTGACTCTGGTGGACTCTGTAAACGTTGACCGGAAAATAAAAATAGAATCATGTACACGAGAAAGATACGTGATTACTACGCTCGTGAATATTTCGCCGGGTGTCGGTACTTTGGCACCTTCTCGTGCTTTTAGTTTTACTGTTGTGTATTACTGAGTATATGGGATACGTCAGTTTCATTCATGTTGTCCAAGTCCACTCACCCATTTAAATTCCAATTAAATTGTCGGATTTATTTTGTTTACCGTGCACCGATATTTTTCATTTTTTTCGCCAAATTCTCAAATGCCTGTACTCAGAAATTTCGACTTCTATTTAAAACTCAATTCGGTATAGGACAAATAACGGGCTATTTTTAGATCGGTATACGCGTGAATTTTCTATTTCGGGGCACAACAAAGTGTCAATTCACATTTCCTGATTTTTTTTTTGCTCGAGAGAATTTTTACTTGAGAACGGGACGAGCATCGCGCCGGAACATGCAACGCTACGATTCACCCATTAAACTCCAAACCAACGGGTTTAGAGAATAAAATTCATATAACATGAATATTCTGTAATGAGAATTTCATTTTTTTTTTTCACTTCCTTCCGTATGAAAGTAATTGAAAGGAGCAAGAGTATAACTGCTCATTACTCGTTTATCATTGTGATTTGAAGGGAAAAATAAATGGAAACAAAAAGATGGGAAATGCACACGTGGTATCTAATATGCAGATCGGGTGAAATATGCGAATTGAGATGAGTATCGCTGGTGCAATCCAGACAAGGCAGTTATTGTTTCCTGAGGACCAGTTGCAGAGAACAATGGCTTTGGGAACTTAGAAAAAGGCGATGGTTGATTTAGGTGCAGAAGTGAAAGCAAGACAAGGCGATAGGGTCTGTTAGGTTTAGATTGTAACAGGGCCGAAGAATTCCTCGATCGTTCAGATAAATCGTGTTGACATTTACCATGAGTTCAGGTCTCTCTCGATCGAGTTCACTAGTACTTACTGGGAAATGGTTTTGCGCGTTATTTTTCCATTGAGCTGATTATGGATGTTGAGGAATGGAATGGAATGGAATTTCTTTAGAAAATTTACTTGTTACCGTTGGGATAATTTGATACATCTTCTCAGAAATTCTCCTATTTTTTTTTTTACTGATCATTGAGGCTCTCGCAGTGGCATTACTTCCTTGTAATTTCGCGAGGCTGAGCTGAAATATCTCGTCGATGATTGATACCACTTCTGTTTCATCTCTCCAAGCATTACCAATGACAGCTCCATCATTGCCGAGGGAAATTGCGCGTCGAGTGGATTGAAACGTCGTGATAATGCAGGAAGCCAGTATATCAATTTTCGCATTACATAAAAATATAGGGAGCACCATGTGACGTAGATTAATCATGAGATTACTAAAGAATCCGTGTCTTCACGTGCCTGTCTGCCAACTATTTTGGCCAGTTTCAACATGTACCTATAACGTGAACGCTTGTTCAACTAGTCAAAAAAATAAACATCATCTTTCACGTTTTTCACCTGCAACTATTGTTAGAAATGATTTCTTCTCCATTTTGCTCCCATTTCTCCGAATATTATTAACATTGGCCTCTTCTTCTGGGAAAATTCCCTCGACTATTCGTGAATTCTTTGAAAATAAAAACCTGTCGGCGTGTTTTTCCAATTGCTCGAACCGAGGTGAAACTGTCTCCCATTGTTTCAACTATTTTTTATGTATTTTTAAGGTGGTGGGGAATAAGAGCGAGCGAGTAAGAGACTCGTTAGAAACTGCGTAAAGTTCCCTGCAGTGAGCATGACAATGACCCAGAAACTATTCCATCTTAGGAATCTCAGGGAAAATTCATTTATCGCGTACTTTCCTTTCCCTGGCACATCACATTCTACACTAGTACCCGTAAATTAATTATCCCTCAATCACCGCTGATGAGAATATTTTATTTTTTGGTTTGTTCTGATCTTAATTCAACCGTGAGATAGAATGAAAAATTTGAATGATAAATTTCATTGAAATTGGTGAGCGATGAAGAGGTAACAAGAGGTAAAAAGGGAAAGTCCATATGATATTTGATGATCGGCTGATAGAGTAAAGAGGATTGTCACTAAGATAATGACTAATAGAAGGGAGGGAATGAATAGAAATGAATCGTTGGAATAAGGTGCAGCAGTCATCATCAATACGGGCCTAGGTCACGGGCGTGAGATGAGTGGTTGGTTGTTGGTGTTGTTGGTGTTGTCGGGGAGTTGGGGCTCTGGGTTGGGATGCGGTGATGTTAGTTCACGGGAAGGCCAGTGGCCGCGCTGGTGCTCACTATTAATAATCGAGGCACGAACGATGTCCAAGTATAGACCTTTGGGCGGATGCCAGACCCGATGCCAGACCCGAGGAGGCTTCAGCTATTTTCTGAAACCCCCCTGTCCGCCCGAGCGGTGGAAAAAGCCCCCAGTCGAGCGCCACTACAGGCAGGCAGGTCCTGGGGGATCAGAGTCACTAGATTTTGGAGGGGTGCTCTGGACTTGGATCTTGTCAATGACCTTGAGCTCTTCAGGGGAGATTGTAAAATGTTATTTGACAATAAATTTTGCCCTTATTACCTGGAAAAGTCCAACAACTCTTTGGTTGAACGAGACGTGCAACTTCCTGGCACCTTCTATTGACACCTCCTATTCATAATTTCGTAGATCATCAATTCAATAGAATACTTTGTTGCGCTCATGCATAATGGCAATGAGGCAGTTGACATGTATGCATAACCCAGTATAACGGCAGGGGATTGGGATTTGTCAGGCAGCTGTAGGCACTCGGATGTAAATGCTCGGGCGGTAGGTGTACCGGTGGTGAGGGCCAGCGATGATAGATTTAGGCGACACGACAGGTCACGGTGAAGCTCCTCTTGCTATTCTCCCCCCGTCAAATACTTGGCGCGTAATCGCGCTTGCTCGAGGACGTCTCCCTCTCTCCCTTTCTCCCACTTCATATCAAACTTACCCTCATAATTCATATAATTACTACGTGAGGTCAAATTAATCATCACTGGCTCCACTATTCTCATGTTATTTTATAATGACTAATTAGTCACTCGATCCGAGCAATTTCTCGCAAGGTCGTACAAGCGATTAACAAATTAAACAATTAATTTATTACAAGTATAAATTTATTTTTTTTTCACGAATATGTATGAGGATGAGGCTGTCCCTGATATATTGGCAAATTTTATATTTACATGATTCATTTATTTAATGAATTTATTTCAATCCAACTTGGAAACTCGCCGGTAATTCAAACTTCGCGCCCCGCCTGAGTAAACGTCAATATCTGCGCAGCGCTCCTGCGCAAACATTCTCCATAAACCGTTCGTTCTAACTCGGGCATTTTCCCAAAAATTTCTAATATCAGAGAAAATTGGACTAAAAAATAAAATAAAAAAAATAAAGATAAAGTAATGGTTGAGTGAAGGTGTGGTACGTAATGAGGAGATTCTCGAGTGTCTTGAATCTGATTGTTTTGAAGTGAAGTTAGTCGGAAGCGGTTGTAGTGATGTAGTCGTACTGAATCAGTACTGAAAGGGCGCTGTCGCTGTATATGTGTAGTGTGTCTGCAGGTCAGTCGAATCGAAACGTGCGTCTGTGAAGAAGTACCTGAAGTGGGTGAGGTTTGCTCCATTTGTTATTTCCCTTTCGTAAATAAAATTAAATCCAGATTGAGAAAATAAATTGAGGGTTGGGCGCCAAGGTAACTGAGAGAATAAATGAGTGATTCAATGTGTCCAATTGATCGTGAGTTTATGCAATGAGTTGTTGCTGTGGGGACTCACGGATATGATTTTCTACTATGTACTGCCAATTTGGCAAGTCGACTTGTCAATGAAAATCGATACGGTGGTGAACGGGGTCAGAGGGCATCAGCCGGCTCTGACTGTAGCGTTTTGTCTCTCGAGCATTAAATTGACGAGTCGTACCTTCGGTTAGTCATTGTCATTTGTCAGTGGACGAGGCTTGTCCTCACCTTTCCCACCAGTCGTTATCTATAGTGCTTCGAGTATTTCATAGGGCTTGATAAGGTTTAATAAGGTAAAGAGGGCTCGAGGGGCATTGCAGGGCCTGATGTCGATTTGCCGGAAGGCCTCAGGGAATTTATTGTGAGGGGGGGAGGGGTTTCGGGGGATGGAGATAGAGATAGATTTTCAGTGGATGAATATACTGATGAAGGGATTTGTTTGCAGACATCGGCGTCTCATAAAAAAAGCACCATGACGACGGCTGCCAAGCTTTATGGCAAGGACTTGAGTGATTATGATGATGTGGATGTTGATGAGCTGCTCTCCCAGCTCACTCCCGAGGAAATCAATATGTTAGCCAAAGAAGTTGATCCAGATGTAAGTTGATGGGAATTGCGAGGGGGGGTTATTAATTATTGTACAATCAAATTAAATGGATTAATGAAACATGGTTGGTTTAATAGGACAGTTTTATGCCACCTTCGCAACGTTGTAGCTACGAGTGTGACAAGAGCCCAACGGGTCCCCTCAATCGTAAAAAACTCATCGAGCATATAAACAAACAGGCATTAGAAACACCAGATATTCCAGAACTGAAGCCATACGTACCTGGTGTTGTAAGAGGAAAGAAAGTAAGTGTCTTGTTATTTTTTCACTGAGAATCAAGACTAAGGTATTCAAATAATAATGGATTTGCAGTGGATCCCACCGTCTCAAGACAACATCAAGGAAAAACAGGCTGATGAACAAATTGCCATTGACCTTGGGGAAGAGTACGAACAGGCTCTCTCCTCGGCTACTCAAGATGAAATAATCGATTTGGCAGCCATTCTTGGCTTTCATTCGATGATGAATCAAGATCAGTATCATGCATCGCTGCTCAATACTGGACAGCCAGTTGGTCTTGGGTGGGATGGAATCACTAAAGCCAGCCAACCTAAAGTATTTCCCATGGATCCACCTAATGACACAGACGTCGATGCTTCGATCAAGCAAGTTCGTGAAGATGATCGCGATCTTGTTGATCTCAATTTGAACAACATTAAGGTGAGAGTTTTTTAATTGACCAGTGATTTCTTCAAGAGAGCATAACTCTATTTTTTTTCTATTAATTTCAGAACATCTCCGAAGAGAAGTTCATTCAACTGTTCGAGGCACTGGAGGGTAATACACATTTGGAAGCACTTAGTTTAACAAACGTCGGTTTAACTGATAGAACCGCCATGAGACTGGCTGAGGCAATGGAGAAAAATTCAACTCTTAGAGTACTCAAGTATGCAGATTCAATCGATAGCATTATTATTCAAGGATTTTTCCCCTCTATAAAAATTAAAGACTGACCAATGTATTTTTCTTGTGTTCATAGTGTGGAAACAAATTTCATTAGCCCTACAGTGATGGTGAGACTCATTCGAGCTCTACTCAACACTAAATCCATCGAGGAATTCCGTTGTTCAAATCAGGTACGTCATGAAAACAAATCAATTCTCCATCTTCCATCTTCCGGTTTATACCGTATACTTTGATTTTTCACCCAAGATGTATTTTTATCTTTACGATAGAGATCGCAGGTGCTGGGTAATAAAATTGAGATGGAAATAACACACTTGGTTGAACAGAATCCCACCCTTTTGCGATTGGGTCTCCATCTCGAGTTTAATGATGCCAGACATCGCGTTGCAGCTCATCTGCAGCGTAATATCGACAGGAGTGAGTATTTAAAGTCCTCCTTTCACGTAATGATTGAGTTATTTGGAATACTATACTCATACTATTTCCAAAAAAATGAAAAATTATCATTGAACATTCTCACGAATTAGGAAAAATTACTTTTACGTTGAACAACGAGACTGTGACAGCCCAGGCTTAATAACGCTTTAATTTTTCCAATTTATTGATCCTCAGGAAGCCAGTACGTAGATTACGTGGAATACAAGTACTGAATTTCCGCGAATCGCTTCGTAGTCTATTCTAGAGCTTTAGCCAATCCATCATTCATTCAATATCATCCGCTATTATTTATTCACTCGCTTTACAATTTTTTTTTACTTCCGACAGCTGCACTGAGGTAATTATTATCACCCTGCATCGATTTCTTACCTCCGCATGACTCAATATTTACATTCCGCCTCGCTGAATTCATTGGAGAATTAAAACGATATATTAGATAAATAGACCTGCTGTTCTTTATTGATCGCTCGAAAAATTTTTCATTCACCTCGGGCAGAATTGAATTTTCGTTGGATATTAATGATTGATTTTAATACTCTGAGTGGATTTAATGGCGGAATTGCCACCTCTCGATATAAATTTATATTTTTCAATGTAATTTAATATTGATTGGTGGATAGTCTGCCGTTTAGAAGCATTGGCACGTGCGAAGATAATTGCAATTGGCGCTGGTCCTGGAGGTTTCTCCGTTCTTGCAGCGGAAACCCCCATTACGCCTCAAACTGCTTAATTGTCCTTTTTATAACCGCTCACCAGTGAGTATTCTCATTATCAGGTGTCTGTCAGTTTCTAACGGTTCCTTTTCGTGCACTAATTTCTAGATTTAATTAAATAATAATAAAATGAGATGAGTCGAATTTCTATTCGTGAAGTTTTCATTACTGTTTTCGTTCATAATCTTCTCGTTTTTTTTTTTTTTGCTACTCACTCGGCTTTTTATTGGCAATTAATACGCAACATGACAAATTGACTACGCGAGAATGTTCTTCTCGTTTCGACCCAAATGGAGAGACTTGATTGAGACTTGGTGATGGTACAATATTTACACGATTATTTCCCCAACAGTACGGAAAGATCTAACGTTGCGGCTACAGTTCCGATTCTTTAACATGAATCACAGGAAACCCGCCCTTATTCAGTGAAAGGTATCTAAATGTTGATCCGTAACTCTGAATTTGGTGTTGATTTTTTAAATAACATAAATATTAATTGACACTAACCCCCGCGTTTGAGAATGTTAATTTATGAAATTGCTGTGACCGTGGTAATTGCAAGTTTTTTTTTCAAAATGTGGAATAATTGTTCCACGATTTTCCATTAAAATTTTTACTAGTGGATGAATGGAAAGTGCAATTTGGGTGGATGAAAATGTGGAAACTGCTGTTGACTCATTTTCAGTGGTGGATTTCGTTGTACAATCTATCTCGTACCGTTTCCCATCAGGCGTCATGAAGAGGTGACGCATTAATTTACACGCAACCCGACTAACACCCACCATTACTTCCACTCCCGAGAGATTCCCAACGTACCTACGTCTAATCATATGACTGCATCCTGATGTACCGTAGATGTTAACTGAGTGACAAATTCACATAACACGGTTTTGGTTTTCACCGTTTCTCACGTATAACAAAATGTCAATGTGATTTTTTCAAGCCATTCAATTTCTGTTTGAACAATCAATGATTGTTTAATGTAAACTATTAAATAAATCAAATAAATCTCTAAATACTCTAAAAGTGTTAAAATTTTTGGTAAATACGATGGAAAGGTGAACTGTGAATTTGTAATGATGGAATTTAAAGAGCATTATAATACTAATTCGATTGCCATGGCCAGTGATTTGATTTTTTTGTGCCTTATTCTCTCCACTGGAGATTTTTACTCATGGTAATATAATTTGTGTTGCAGTACGGCAGTCCCGACTCGGGGTGGCAACATCTTAATTTGGCATTTGACATTTCTCCAGGTAAGAAATCTTTGTAACCACATATCAATTTTACGAGTTATGGAACGAGTGAAACGACTAAAATTGAATTGATGCATTCATTTTCATTATTTCATGAATTTTTTAATTCTCAATTGACATTGCAGGCTTCTCCTACAATTTTCAAACATCAATTATCACCTCATCATCTTCCAAATGTATCAATTCATTCCTAATGATTCATACAAGAATATCCAAGTAAACAAAATTTTTACATAAAGTAGAAAAAGTCCTTGAATATTCTAAGATGGATCGATTCCTCGATATATCCATTCCCAACTAATCGACCTATGAAGAGAGGCTGTCGAGGAAAAATAGCGCAAATTGTAGATAAATATTATTACGACAATTCACAATGGCAATTCAGTAAATAACGTGAATTGTTCCTTCCGGCCGACTACTTGTCGATACATCCTTCATATTCATCAGAGAATCATGGTTTTCGTTTTATTGATATTTCATTCATGTTTTTTTTTATTCCACTTTTTCATTTCGTTTTCATTGCGTTTTTACGTCTGTTTGTTTTTCCTCCTTTATCGGTACGGAGTGGAATTTTTTTTTCATGACGGTTGAATACACTCGATTAGTCATATCGAATAGAATTGCCCACGGGCGTGAATTTATACGGCTATCGGGAAGTTGGTTAAGAATTGAAATCTGCTCGCATCGAAAAACAATTTCATTCCATTTTCGTGATTTATTTGGCTGTGTTTATTCGTCTGAATTCAGTGGTTCGTGTGTCTCATAGGAATTTATGAAATTTCCGAATTTTCAGAAAGGTGAATTATATTTTTGATTTGTTATTTTTCGTTAAGCAGCCTATGGTAGAAGCAATAAATTAGAGGATTCAACGTTTTCGTAGTGGACTAGACGGAAGAGAGAAATTTTTCCTCGCATCCTCATATAATACATCCTCAAATCATATTTTATCCATCCAAGAAGCTTGAGAGAAGAAATTCTTGCAACCAAAAATTCCTCGTTATTTCCTCTTGTCAGGCATTCCCAGCATACGCCGAATAATTCCGATACCTTCCTCGCTCGCTTTCCCTCGTTTACTTTAGCCGAATAAAAATCAGTGAAATTTTATCGATTCACAGATCGTCAGCTTTGAACAAGAAAGATATCTCGCAACTCCATAATGATTTGGGCTAGGAAGTGACGATTGAACGTTGGAATCATGTGGACCATTCTAAATGGATCACGAGGAAATCTCAGGCCCATTAAAACGTATCAATTCACATCGAAAATACAGGAATTTCCAGCGGAACAATTTATCGAATAATGCCATTGAATTATTCGCCGAGTTTTCAGAGCTTTAATATTTTCACAGGCTTTGCTTCATCCGCAACTTTAAATTTTAACGAATTATTTTATAATTGACAATACCACTTGGTGACAATTTTTCAACGATCAAAGAGGCTTACTTAGAATATTAATGGATTTTATTTGCAAATTATCGGCTGAATGGAAAAAAATAATCATTTGACCGTACACTATTCATCAAATCCAGTCGATTCACTATTGAACTTTTTTTCGATCCTTCACTGACCTCTCGTGAATGTGGGAAACACATCCATCATGATGAGGACTGATACTGGGCTGACAGCGATAGGCTCACCATAAAAAAAAAAACAGAAGAAAAACGGTCACATATTTTTTAATGTTTTTTTTTTCTTCTTTCGAAAGAGAAAATTGATTTAAGTAGAATGACTTGACGATAGCTTTATACTGACTGTTCGAGCTTTTTGAAATATTGCACCAAGTTTAAAGATATTTTTATCACCAGTGTTTTATGTTGAGACCTCCACAATTGTAGAATCGTTGGGTTTTTTTTGTACACTTGAGTCGTTTTCTATTGACAGCTCTTGAAACTCACTGTTTGTCTAATTGTTTGGACTCGAAATGATTAAAATGATAAAAAAAAAAAGATGAGAGAAGATAATGTTGACGATAGGCATTTTCATCGTTTGGAAAAGGCCAACCCCACGAGATCATCTGCCTAATTTTATTTACGTTTACAGTTACAATAATGATTATAATATATTTAACCACTAAATATTATAATTAATATTCGAATGAATAAATTTTAAATGAATTATTTTAGCATCTCATACGAATGATAAATCTGTACATATTGTCTTAAAGTTGTCGACTTGATTGGGAATAAGAAAAGCAATAATGAAAAATGAGTTTATTATTGTTTTAGTGGCACTGCATTGTCGTATTGTTGTTAGAGAGATGATACATAGGACATGAGTCGAGTGACGGATGTTAGGTGAATGAGGTAATTTGGTAGAGTGACTGGTCTAAATTTCTTTCAACTTGTGGTTTTATAGAGGTTCGATGAATTCTGATGAATTGAGTAGAGATTGCTGTGTGTGAAAATGGAAGATATGGAGTAACATTTCGCTCGGAAAGGAGTTATTGATAAAACTCTGTTGTTTTTTGTTCGTTGCCTCATTATTTTTAATTTTTTTTTTTCTGTGAAAATCAAAAGTTTTGTCAGTGGTTTCGCTCAGGCTTCCTTGATGTACTCTTCATTGCATTATGTCATGATGAAATGTTATACAATAGCCCAGCCATTATTATACAGCGTATAATGTATGTAGAACAGATGAAAGTTTAGAGGGAAGTTCGCGCTACACGATAAATGGAAATGATGCCAAGAATTATGAGAATGCACGCGCCTTGCTGCTAGCCTTATCTTGTAACACACCAGTCAAATAAAGTGGAAATATTGAGAAAAATAATGGGGAGTTGTGGTGGGCAATTAAATCTTAATGTACATATTTTAAAAAATGAATATGTGGTATTATGATGGGTGATTTTGTAGCAGGAGCGATTAGGCTTGTGCTTGCCTCACGTGTTAATCATGAACTGTTGGCGAGGACCAATCACCGATCTCCAGGGACTAGCCCGCGTGTCAAGGGTCGTTAGTGAGATTACGTAATAACCTCGTGTTATATGTGCTCAACGTACACCTATATACTCCTTTATATCTAAGTCATAACCCCTGCACCAGTTGAAAGTTATAACACACCCCTGCCACGAAAATTAACCCGCCTGGACTCGATGTGTAAATTCAATTTTCTGGGGCTTTGATCACATAATTTCATTTGTCTGGGGATCATTTTTCGAGTTGCATTTAGCCGTGACGTTTTTCAAGGGATTTCAATTAAATGAACTCGTAGTGAGCTGGGCAAATATTGGAATAGTTGTTAGGAGTATTCGTTCAATTCTGATAACCCAAAATGCCCAAAATACTCTAGCTTTGGCCGAATGTAGCTCTAATCGACAGTGTACATGGCATATATCGGCCTCAGAATCGAAGGGGTCAGGAGAGAAACTCAATTATCAATTTGCATCGTGAAACCCAGAGGTCGTTAAGCTATATTCGATGCACGGAGCTTATCGTTGAATCACTTGCGACTGTTCGACCATGAATTTTGAGAGCCACCCGAGATTCTCCTTGCGCTCGGTATAAGATAAGTCCTCGGGAATAATACTCCAATCTGAATAATTTCGTTGATCATCGTGACTCATGTTTGAATTATTCAATTCTGCAAGAGTATCCCGAAAATTTGAAATTTTCCTTTGAGCTCCTCCTCTCATTCTCTCGTTCTCGCCACTATTCATCCTCATACTCATTTAATTAGAGTTCATTGGTTGATGGAAAATTTTTTCCCATTTTTTTCCCATTTTTTCCATTTTTTTTCCATTTTTTTGCAATTTTTTTGCCATTTTTTAGCCGTGGGGTCGAGGTGAAATTCATATGAGTGTTAGTGTCTGGGTAATGAATGAAGTAACTTGGGTTGGTGTGATGTCTGGTCTATCAAGAATTTTTCCAATTTCAGTGGAGAATTTTCCTCAGCACAGGTAGATATTATCAAGGAGTGAATGCCTGCTCACGCGCGATATTCAGCACTACCTACGAGGTATGAATATTTAAAGGCTAAAATGGTGGATGTGGCGCTTTCAAAGTCGACAGCTCTGCGAGCGTTCACACCCGGCCTTCTCCATGGAGAATAGAAGTAATTCCGCTGAACGAGTGTTAAATAAGTTCGCGTTAATAATTCCATTGATCCACGTCTTTTCATCCCCAGGGCCAATTTCTCCCAATTACTCAACTCCTTTGTCTTGGGCCACTCAAAAGACTGCATGACTCCAATATTCCGCTTTATTTCTTCCGAGTTATCCTTTGTTCTAGGAAAAATTCTCAACGCGAGATACCGTGCCCAATAATTCTATCAACATCACCCGAGTAATGCATATTTCAATTAATTAATTCATGATTAAGCAACTAGGAATTCATTGAGATTGTAGGAGTGCGGAGGGATTGCGGGTGGATTTGCACCTTTACAGAACTGTTGACAACAATGACATGACATGACTGTTGTGTGCTTCACTGGATCTGAGCTGAGGACAAAGCCAGTACCTTGCGGAGATCCATTTCAATTTACTGGGCTTCAAGCCAGTCGCTTCTTCATGTCTCGCTTGTCTTGGCGCGTCTTACCGAGTCGAGGGAAAATCTCCTCGTTGTGGCAATTACTAGGCTATTTCCCTCTGTCAAGCATTTCCAATTTTCTATTTGTCAACTTTCATCAATTTACAAAAGTTTTCTCAAACTATTAGAAATATTTTTAATAGCTCTCCCAATAGCGAGTAAATAAATAATGAGCAGGACTCGATGTTTTACGAAAAGTTTGCGAGCATGGCGTCTCTCTCCGGTAATTCATGTGATAACTTTTCCACTGGTAAAGAATGATGAATTCGAATGAGCCCAAGGGCCATTTGGAAATGCAGAAATGAATCATCCCCCTCGACTCTCTGTTCATTTCTTTTTTCTTTCGAGTCGATCCATCACTTCACTTACTCGATATGAGGCTTTTTCTTTATTGTTGGTTTAGCATGTTTCCCCCGAAATGACGTGTTATTCAGAAAATGTTGACGTTGAAAATTTCATGCAAAGTTTCCACGAAATCAAAAGCTCCGGAGAGCGATAAGCCTGTCCTGTACCCCTCCGTTTCCACTGCAGGTAATTCCCAAGCCCTGTCTAACATCAGCGATGGCTTAATTGCGATTGCAGCACTACGAGCTTTAACTCAGTTTGTTGATTGCACGCTCGGTAAAGTATGTACGTGTGGGTGGCTTTAAAAAATTACCCCCCAATTTTCACTGAATTAAAAGTTAGGGGATAGATAATTCATTAATACTCTTGAATAAATGGCCACCCTTCCCAGATAATGTTTTCGTATACGCATTTATAGAAGACAAAAGGTGATAAAAGTAAAGTCAAAAGAAATTGTTAGGTTTTTTTTCCCCCTTGTATCATTGGATACGTGTTGAAGCGACAGGATGAGTGGTGATAGGGGGATTCTCACCATTTCATATCAAAATTTCAAGTGCATTAGTAACGCGTGACCGACGCAAACTCATCCGGTTTATTCTCGACGCGTCTTGCCATCCCGGCCCCAGTGATGGCACAGTCCAGAAAGCCGAGGGAGCAAAATATCGATCCCACCCACTTCATCCCCCTGTGGAGGATAATCTCAGCTAGACACCGAGGATTTAACCCTCGTACTCTCCCAATTAGTTCAACTTATAATTATTACAGTTGCTTAAACTATACCCGTCGGTTTATCTCCGCCCGTGTTCAATAGATTTCAAATATGTCAATTGGCACGTGGAAAGTTGTTACGAATTTGTGTTCAAACATCGAGACTAAACATCGCCAATTCCTGACAGGGATTCACTCGCCTTTGAATTACACGATGAATCCATCTGGCTCCACCCAGAATTCCCCCAAGTTACCAGGAGCTTCATTTTGGAGGATTCAGTTTGTGGTCTCGATTGTCCCGACGGACCCGGTATCATCGATGGATACAAATTAATCGACGTTCTCGTGGTTGACTATTCCATTTCGATACAGTCCAATTCAACTTTCGCCGGGGAAATTGTTCGAGTGGATCTTCTCTCTGTCACACGAGTTTTATTCTTTTTTTATTATTACTTTTATTATTTACCGCATTTTCTTAGTCACTATTCTCGTTTAATTGAAAATTCAGATCGGAATGTTCCGGAAAATTCAATGAATTCCCCATATTTTTCGCGATAAATTTTTCCACACGGACGCTGTGAAAATTTGCCACGAACCTCATATCGACTGCAATTTCCAAAAAAAAAAAAAAGTATACACCAACGAAATGGTGAGTTTAATTATTTAGAATCAGCGCAAAGTGCTATCATTGGATTTGCAACTGGTGTGTCTTTTGTCGGCATTAATCACCATCAAAACAGTGAAGTTGCATTTTCACTAGAAATAGTGACTCCTCCGAAATGAAATTGAAAGCTGTCGTGAAAATTTTGGACAACTGGTGGGTGGACGTGACGGTATGTTTCCTCGATTTGCTCACTATATTTTCAAGGGAATTAGCTGTTTACGTGATAACCGGGATCCATAACGTCGTTTATTCGAGGTAAACAAAGTGTACACGGAGCTCTATACCGCACGTCAGTTTATTCATTATTTCAAGGGTAGTTAAACAATAGTAGGTTAACGTTATCCGTAGGGATAGCCTCCAAGCGGAAAGTGTCTCGCAGGGGTGGTCTTTTCCTCGTGGAATACACTGGCAAGGATACTGTCCCCAACCCGACAAGCATCATCCGCTTTGTCAAGTATCCACTGCTGATTTGTCGACTATTTCCTTTGTCACCCACCATAAACCTCACTGAACCGAAAATTCTATTTAAATTACCGCCCTTGAAATGCTCTGTGAATTTTCTCTGTCCCTGTCTAACTTTTATCATTACTTTCCAATAGTCACTGGAACCCTCTATCATTTCCTTTTCCCTTTGCAATGATAAATTCTATAATTAATCAACCGAGTGAATAATGGAGAAGCGAGAAATTGTCGATGACAGTGTCCTCCGATACTTATCTCCTCCTTCGTATCTATCAGGATATCAATTGACATGACGTAATAAAGGTGTCTGTACGGGAGGTGGGGTTTCACTTGTCGCGTGCACTGTCGGCCTGTCAAGTTGGATTATCTCATCTCGGCTATCTCGACATATACACACCCATACATGTAAATATTCGTGGAGGAATCATCGATGCTATCTCC